CCCACCCACCCACACACACATGTACGTATACATATATATACTTATCACACACATACATACAAACAAGCATACACATGTATGTGCACACACGAGGATGTATGAGCGTTCATATATTAGAGCTATCATTTAGTATTACATAAAGGACTTCTTTTTTATGGATTATAAAATTGAATGTTACACACAAACTTCCTTTCAAAATATTAGTCATAACCCATAATATATTATTAGTACCTACTTGACTATGTACCAAGTCCATGTTCATTTTTATCAAGTATAGATGGAGAGTCCAAATGATATCCATATCCACATTCGTATGTCTAAGAAGACGACAAATACAAATATGAGAACACCAATATCCACTCTATCACTTCTCCACCCCAACTCCAAACATTTCAGGGATTGCACCACATTGGGTACACCTTATTTACAGGGTTTGAAAATCCATACAGGTAAAAATGGGTGAGAACAGAGATTTAAAAGAAATATTTTCTTATCATGATATAATATAGGTGCAACATCAATATACAAGAGTGAGAAGGTTGTTACTTGACAAATTACTCTATGACTCATAAATGGTCGCTTTTCTATTTCTTTGAGATTTATTATCATTGTACATAAGGTACACCAAGGCCATGTTCATCAAGGAGATATTACAATCGTCAATATTCGCAAGCATATAACAGCATTTTCCAGAAATGAAATTTGAGCCCAATAAGAGCCGAGTCAAACTAGCATCAAAACTAGAACCCTTAGCAAAGCTTGAGCTAGAGCACCAGCCAAAACTCAAGCACAAATAAAAGTTCAACTAGTAGCCAAGGGTCAAAGCTCCATAATAGTTCAAGTTGTCTAAGAAGAGTCTTGCAATAGCTCATGTTGAAGCTGATTCAAAGCCAAAACAAATGTGTTACATAGTCCTTGAGTCGACAATTTTGGTCCTAAAAACACAAAGACATTGACTAATATCTTCATCATGCACGGTTCCAATACTGAAATGGCCTAACTTTGCCGATCTCAAATACCCATTTGCTACTTATTATCAGGTCCTAAACTTTGTTCTGACGTCTTTATTAATTGTGTAACGTTCACTGGAATATATCTTCAAGACTGTCTTGCTCCATTTACAACTCATGATTAAGATTTCTCCAACAAAGGGAGTCATGAGTCAACCAATTTTTTGGCTTTTATTAAAAAGTTGACACTGCTGATTCACCAAATTGGCCAAATTCTGATCAGTATATCAGTTATTAAATCTATTCTATCCTTTCATTAAGCTTTACTGAACACAGAACTCATTAATATTTTTAAGTTGTTGAATTTGTTGTGTTGCTGAGGTTTTATTTTACCTTCCAAAACTTTATTATGCTTAAGATAAGGATTTATAAGTTGAAACTTGAGCTTCATATCCTTTTTCAGTTGGCACTGTCACCAACAAGGATGGTTCAATCCTGAAAGGACACTTTTAAGATCGAAGTTGATGAATGGATTGACTTTCATTGTGTATAATTCTTTCTTCTATGTTTTCTGTTTCTCATATTTCTCCATCTTCCCAAAATCAGCCTATAAATGTTTGTGGAATAACCACCATTTTGTAAAGAAGTTCACATCATATCATGACTTCCCCCCTAACATGTTTGTAGAAAACAAAATGTAGATGTTTGCCTCACTCATCAAATTAATACTACATAATCAGAATAACAAATTGGGACAGCTTAATTCATTGATAACTTATGTCTCAATTGCATAACTCGGCCAAGACAAGCCTAGTCGTACAACGCGCATACACATGCACAAGAACAAATAGATATATTTAATAATAATAATAATAGTAATAATAAGGGCATCACCTTCGTGAATAAATAATGGCAGTACCAGATCTCTCGCTTCAAGTGGGTGGCGTTCTCCAAGAAGATATTCCGCATGTTCGTTGCTCACTTTGATGATCAGTGAGCTTTTCACATTTCTTTTTAGCATGGGCAACATAGATCTGCGACCTTTCATGAGCTTCGAGTCAACATAACTCTCACCAAATATACATCTACCAACTCGAACATTACTGGAACGCAAAATGATAGCTGAACCCATTTATTGATCTGTTAACCTCTGCAGTTAAAATCAATTTGATTAGTGTTACTCAACATGATAAGAAGACCTAGTGTATCAATTAGAGGCGTGAGACACTGCACAGAAACAAAAAAGTTGTAAAAGGACACTATATACAAGACTTCCTAATTGCAAACAGATTTCGAGTAAAAATCAAAACTTTCGACTATAAAACGTGAGAAATACGCAGAACCGCCAACTTATAGAATTCACAAAAAAAAATATGAACCCTAATCTACAAATAAAACTAAAAATCCTAAAATTTACGATCAGACGAAAAGTCTAAATAAAAAGAGGTAGTCATATCCCTCAACAAAATTTACACAAATTAAAAATTAAATTTTTGAATAAAAAGGGGGAAAAGGGAAGAGACGAACCTTTAATAGATTTCTCTCCCTCTTCTTTCTCTCTCCTCTTTCGCCGAGAAATCTAAACTTTGAAAGAAAGGTAATTAGCGGGTGATCCCGTATTTATACGATTTCCTCAAGGCATCGTGCGTTAAATGAACGGTTTTGATTGGCTTGACTCGCGTTGTCTTTGACGGCTGAGATTTAGTTTATTAGTGCAAACTTAATTAACCATCATATCATATCATATCATTTCATATCATATCATATCATACTCCATTTAAAACCACGAGTTCGGAAAAAAAAAATCATGGTCAATATTACTCTTGACTATTTTGATTATTTCATTTATATATTAATCTATGTTAATCATAATTATATCATATCCTAATCTCACTTTAGCTGTCTATAATTCAACAACTTAAAAAATAATATAAATATTGATTTACGATACTAGTTTGTTAAGGTAAAAAAATTTGGGGAAAATTTTTCATGGTCAATATTACCCTTAGCTATTTTGAATATTTTATTGAAATGTTAATCTATCTTAATCATAATTATATTCTATCATAATCCCACTTGAGCTGCTCATAGTTCAACAATTTAAAAAATAATATACATACAGATTTATGGTATTAGTATGTTAAGGTAAAAAAAATTATGCGTAGCTAACATACTATAATATATGAAGTACTGCAAAAAAAACCCTAAAATTTTAAATTTGCACAAAATACCTCAAAAGTTTAAAATTATAAAAAACATCCTCACGTTTCAAAATATAAAATAACAAATATGAAATTAAGAAATAAACAGCGGCCTATGAAGAATCTAAAATTTGCAGTTAATGTCCTCAATGTCTCAAAAATTATAGAAATACCCTTAAAAATTCATATTACAAACGAGCACGATAAAATTCTAAAATTTTAAAACTTGCAAATAAAATTTATGTATTCAATGGATTACCATGATGCACCTGATAATTTTCAAAACTTAAAACAATAAACATGAAATTAAAAAATTAATAGCAACCTCTAAAGAATTTAAAATTTACAATTAACACCCTCAATACCCTAAAAATTATGAAAACACCCTCAAAAGTTTAAATTATAAAAAACCTAAAATTCTAAAATAAATTATAGAAACACCCTCAAAAGTTTAAATTATTAAAATATCCTAAATTTCTAAAATTTTAAAACTAGCAAACAACATAGATGAATTCAATGGATTACCATCAGAGACCTAAAAATTTAAAATTTACCAAAATTAACCTTAAAGTTTTAGAAATTGCAAAAAAAAACTCTTTCAAAAGTTAAATAACGCAAAAAAAAGATACAAGGATGATTCGGACTACCAACTACTAACACATGTAAAATATCACGCCAGCACCTTAGACATCCATGATTCGGACTACCAACTGCTAACATGTGTAAAATATCAGATGGCTAAGACAACTGCATAGACCTTGTCAAAGTTACCTGAATACCGTTTTCAGCTCATTATAAATATGTAGATTGTCTTCTGCATGAAGGTACAATGTTCTCTACGATAAAAAAACCCTAAAAACCACTTCTTTTATACAGTTTTCTCCCTTAAATCATCACTAACTTAATCATTGAAGGAACCACTAGAAAACTCAACTCCGACCCTTTAGCGTTTCACATTTATACAGGAAATTTCTTCTACTCAAGGTGATCAGCTATCAAAGAGAATTAAGTTTTGACATAAACATTTTGCCGCCCACAGTGTGGCCCCTTTCTCTTCTTTAAGAAAGATGGTTGATTCCAATCAACGACATTGATTGTCAGCTCCCCATCCAGGAGAGGCGGCCAACACATGCTACGTTACTCAGGCCTAATTAGATGAGTTAGCTCAAAGAATAGCTCATTCCTTTCAGCAATTGTTTGCTGCTTTCACGAATGAAGTTCTTAGGTGGATTCCTCCGTCTCATCTCCTCCACCATCTGTCGCCCCCTCTCTAAGGAGGTCACACTCAGTGACAAATGCCAGAGGAGCAAACTAGAAATATCACTCCCCCACGACTAAGGCATCAAGCTCCTTTCACCGCTCATCCATGACAATCACCACAATACATGGAGGCTACCTGTGAAAGTTTGAGTCTTGACCTTGAAAATGACACATGAATGATGCCGCATGGTGCGAGATATCCCCTTGGCGTTCCAGGCCTAGTAAGCAGAATGGATCCTTCCTTCACCAACTCTGTGTTTAGTTACGACCAGACTCTCAACATAATCGCAGATGTCATCAGAGGAAACACTCCTTTCGTCGACTGGATGATGAATGCTTTATGCCCTAAGTTCAAGATGCCCCACATCAATAAATACAAGGGAGAAGGATATCCAGTTGAGCATGTAAATATTTTTTATAATTTAATGCGCATAAGCAAGTAAGTGACCCGGTCATTTGCAAAGCCTTCCCATTCACTCGATCTAACGAGTAGTGTGAAGATGTGATAGAACTTGCTAGATAAGAAGTCCATTCATAGCTTTGAGTGGCTCAATCAAAAGTTTGTGCATTACTTTTTGGCCAACACCAAGCAACAGGCTCTTTCCTCCATCCTATTATAGATAAAGCAAAGACTGAGTGAGAGCCTAAGAGATTATTTCAAAAGGTTTCAGGCCAAAAAGCTAGAGGTTGAAGATCCTGGCAATAGAGTCGCCATGCCTGCAATTGTTACCCGATTAGAAAAAAAAAGTTGTCTGACTCTATCATCATGAACCGTGTGACTAATTTCAACTAACTGATGGCCAAAGCTCGATCGCACATGGATGCTAAAGACAGTCAAGCTCTCAAAACAGCGGCCCGACTAGAGGTAGCCAAAGTAGAATCCTCTCAGGGAAGAAGGTTGAAGATGATCCCCCAAGAGTGACGCTAGACCAAGTCAGGTAAATAGGATAGATCAAAAGAAAGAGGCGAGAAGAAGCAACACTCACTACCCTCAACACCTATTTCACAATGTTGTACATGAATTAGAAGAAGGGACGCCTTACCACTCCTTCCCCTCATAGGAAGTCAAATTCTCAATCTAAAGCCTCAAACAATACTGTTGATGTCACCAGGATCACTGCCATCATAATGATAACTATAGGGTTCTCTAGAGAGACATCTAGGAAATGATGTGGGGAGGACTGCTAAAGAAGTTCATCGCCCGTCAAGATAGAGGGAATCAAGCCTCAGAAAGACTAGAGAGGAGGAGATCTAGGTCAAGATCACCCCGTTGCCCGAACCAATAGGTGGATCAACCTAGAGAAACAGGCAGCTGAGGCGCCATCAACACCATAAGTGGTGGCCCATAGCTAGCAAAACATCCAAACAATACCCAGAAGAAGTATGCTTAGTGAGCATTGAAATTCAATGTGTGTGAGAAGAAGCCCAAGCTCGATCAGCCTTTTTTTTCCTTTAGCAATGCTGATCTAAAAGATGTGGAGGTCCCCTATGATAACCTATCATCATATCGACAGAGATTAATAGTTGTCAAGTCAAAAGAATCTTGATAAATGTAGGAAGCTCCACAGAAATTATGTTTACAGAGGCATTCAATCAGATGGGAATTATTAAGTTTGATTTGTAGCCTTGCTCGAGTTGCCTCATCGGATTCTTAGGGCAAATAGCCTTTTTATAAGACTTCTTTTACACAATAAAATGAAAATTATAACTTTTTAGAAACAAACGCAGGATCGTTGTTTGGATCGCTGCTTGCATGGGATCTTTGCCTGTGCCAGGGGTGCATTAGCCCGTGGACCACCGATTCACAGATTCTGATTGAATCGTAAAGGTTTTGGGGATTCTTCCTTCGTTTATCGAAGTAAGAAAAAGCGAATATCTTATCGATGTAAGATGTTCACTCTTCCAAAGATCAAGCCAAAGCTTAGATCTCTAGGAATCGTCAAAAGCTTCTTGAGGATGTTTGTGAAGAAGGAAAACTCTCTCTCTTGCTCCAAATCACCAAAAGCTTAAGCCTTTTCTGCTCTAAAATGCCCTCCCCCTTTATTTCGTGTCTAGGGAGGTATTTATAGGGGTAGGAGTGCACCACAGTTACAACGGGAGTGAAACAACTGACCAAGTAACTGCTTTTTGGCCACGACAGCCAACACTGCCGCGGCTATTGGCGCGGCAGTGTGGACTGCCGCGGCCTTGAAACTGTTCTCCCACGACTTTTAACCACCTTTTTCGTGGTTTAACTGCTTGTCCACGTCAGCACATGTTCTGTCTCTGATATGTCGCCACGTGGGCTTCAAAAAATCATCGAATAACTGCCTTATAACTGCCACATCACCCCCTATAATAGCCGCGGCACCATGAGCTGCCGCGCCTAAGGCGCGACACCTTTAACTGCCGCGCCTAAGGCGCGACACCTTTAACTGCCGCGTCTAAGGTGCGACACTCTGAACTGCCGCGCCTAAGGCGCGACACTCTGAACTGCCACGCCTAAGGCATGTCACCCTGGCTCGCTTGTTGGTGTATTTGTCGTTGTGTCTACACTGCTCTTTTCTCATCCTTGAGTAGTGTTCGGATATCTATGAGCATTTTTTGACGCCTACAGATACCCCCTCCAAAGTATCTCAGACTCATCATTTTTTTTAGAGAGGGGTCTGGGACACTTTGGATATGATAAGCTTTCCTTGCAATTTCTCCAGTGCTTTGTTGAGGAAATTGTGCAGAATGGTCTGTGAATGGCTTCAATTCTTGACTTCTTCATCTTTTGGTCTATTCAGTACTTTGTAGGATAGCTAAGATTCCTCCGGTGCAGCGTTTATCGAGTGGTCGTCGTCGAAGTCTTGAATCAGAACTGTTGTTGAAGATTGGAGAAATAGTTTATACTCATATACTCTATTGGAGTGTTCGGGAAATAGTTTAACCTCATATACCCGTTGGGAGGTTCAAGGAGATGCAGTTTATACTCATATACTCATCGGAGTGTTCGGGAAATAGTCTAACCTCATATACCCGTTGGGAGGTAATCAGGTTATTCTTAAGAATATTCTGAGTAATATTCTCCAGAAACTTCCTGTTGAGAGTAGGGAAACAGTTTAGACTCGTGTACCTATTGGAGTAACATAGTCTCTTTTTTGGTGGTAGAGATGAACCCAATGATGGAGAGGAA